GCAAACTTAAGTTGCAAACAAGCAGCATAAGGGATTTAGGTCTGATGTAAGAAGAATTTCATCAGAGCAAAAGTTCTTCCACAGTAAAATGGATGAGCAACTCTCTGGGTTTTAGGAAAGAGTATCTGTTGGTACTGGGGGCAAAGCAGACAAGGATAGCAGGGGAGACCAGATGACTAAGGTTCCTCTCAGAATCGTGAGTGCAGTGAGCGAGGATTACTAATATCCCAGCTCATAATTACTAAGCAGATATCCTGTCCAGAAGGTTCAGTTGTCAGGCCATGTCCCCCTCTGACATGGCTCTAGGCAGACTTCATGTAGTACAAGTTTACAGGTTATCAAGAGCAGGAGGGCTGTTCACTCAGCAGTGTCCAAGTTCTGATGGAAGCTGTCGCTCCTGGAGGAAAAGCTCTCACAAGTACCAGTATCCTGTGAACTGAAAGAACTTGCCTGTAGTAAGGAAACCGTGAGGAAACAGCACCCCAAGGTTAGGATCTGAGAATGACCGAGTACTTGTACAGTAACCAAAACAACTCAGGACAGCCTAGATGACATTCCCATCTGTTGGATTACAGCAGATCCAAGATCGAATTCTAATAGTTCTTGCCAAACTTGTTAAAACAAAAGCCACCGTGACTCCTAGCTGCAAACTTAATAGTTTCATCTCATTTCCAAATCCTCTCCACTCTTAAGTCCTTTGTTTTCCATGAACAGAACACAGAGTCACTGGGCTGTAGGGTAAGGGAATTCCGAAGCTTGGAAAACTGCGGAAGGGAGAAAACGAAGCAGAGCAGCCAGAGATGGCTCTGCATTCAGAGGCCGGGTTTAGTTCTGGTTGTGACCTGGGGCAAGTTTCTGAACCACACTGTGTCTTAGTTTTCCCTCTGTAAAGTGGGCCTAATAAGCAATGATCATCTCATAGGGTTGCTAGGATTCAATGATACAACGTACATACAGAGCCTTGGAGAAGAAACTCAATTAGTGTTGGCTATTATCGTCACTATTATTTATATTAACAAGTCAAATTTGCCACTGCACTTTATTGAACACTCAAGGCACCACAGAGGAAGAGAAAGGCACCAAAGAGAAAGGTCTCTTTGTTAAACAAAGATTTCATAGCAAATAGTGTTATTTTTTTTTAACGTTTATTTATTATTGAGAGACAGAGAGAGACAGCATGAGCAGGGGAGGGGCCGAGAGATGGAGAGACACAGAATTCGAAGCAGGCTCCAGGCTCTGAGCCGTCAGCACAGAGCCTGACGCGGGGCTCGAATTCACAAACTGCGAGATCATGACCTGAGCCGAAGTCGGACGCTTAACCGACTGAACCACCCAGGCGCCCCGCAAATAGTGTTAATTACACATTTATATACAATGTGAAGAGAAAGAGAATTTCAATTTTTGAGGAAAATGACTTGGGAAGGTACCTTCGGAAGCCTCCTTTCACATACTGGTTGTTGACAAAAAATTAGGAACAGTTCAGACTAAGCTAATACATTTAAATAATCAAAGGTAGAAAATTTCTGCAACAGAAAAACCAGTGAAGAATCTGTGGAAAATGATAGAACTTAATAGAGAAAAAAAAAGTTAAGAGATTAGTTTCTTAAAAAAGGCAAACTCCATGCAGCTGAGGGATACCGTTTAGTGATCCCTCCTGGCTTCTGAGCACAGTTCTGCCAAGCAGTTCCTAAGCCAAGAGCTTCAACATGTTCGGGTTCTGTAGCTGTAGCTCAGCTCTGCAGAACTGAGTGACCATCTGTTCTCCCGTGAAAATGCAAAACAAACTGCATGCTGGGAAGTAACGTCGATCAGCACCTCTGGGGGAAGAGCTTAGTAATGATCTTTTTCCAATTAAGAAGAGAATTTCCCATCATGAACAAAATTAGAATTTTTGCTTAACTCAAAGAGAAATAAAGTAATTAATACAATTTTGCAGGTTCCAAAGATGAGAAATCTCAACTATAATCCTAAACTTTTAAAGTTTTTTAGTTGGCTAAATACAGCAGTTCATGAATATGGCTGGCTTAACCTCTTTCTCCTAATCTATCACATGATGGCCAAGAGTATCACAGCCGGAGCAAGACTAGATTCTTTAAAGTAGGTACAAAAAATAGGTTAGCAAACCTAAACTAGGGCTGACAAACTTTTGTAAGAATGATGGAAAAAATGTTAAAGGTGTCGGCATATTACCTAGCTCTTGTTTTCATGTAATTTTTTGGTTAATTATACCCAATAGACATGATTAAAACATACATCTGTTTTCTAAGATTTATATTGGACCAGACTTCCTTTTCATTAAGACCATGTGGATGGTTATAATCTGTATTGAATGCTTTTACCATAATACTAAGAAAAGATCTTCACATTTTTTTTTTTTTTTTTTTTTTTTTTTTTTTTTTGCAATGGTAGCTCTTCTTTCACAGGTAGGTTAAGAAGCTGACAATCTCTCTCCCGGTACTTTCTGAGATTCATTTATCAAAGGTAGTTTGTAGGTGGTTTAAGAGTATGTGAAACACCGTAACTGAGCTCAGTGAGTCACTAGCAGATGGTACTGAAGCCACTGATCCATGCTGGAAATTGCTGGGATTACATCTGGAGTTTGCAGTTTTTCCTTCTGTAACATGGAAGTAAAATGTATGTATCCCACTCCTTTAAATGCCTGGACGGGAGAAAAAACCAAACATTCCTTTATCTCAACATAAGTAAGGTGCCTGTACATCTCTGATGACAGGGTTTTCACTGAAGAGTGGAGTGGCCCTCTTGTCTCCCTTTACAAGATGCTGAAGCAAGGACAGTTTTGTCCTTATCTGAACTTCATCGTAACTTGACAAAGTTATGACATTCTGTTAGCTACAGAATGTCAGAGTGGGAAAGGACCCCCAATGATCTAATAAACTTCTTACCCTGTGCTGGAGCACCTACTGGACAACATAACCACTAGGTGGCTGTTCAGAGTATCTTTTTACAAGTGGGATCATAAAATGAAGAAACCAACCAAAATCCTCCAACTTTTGATCCCAGAAGAGTATTCTTAGCACAGGTACCCAACACTCATACTACTAAGAAATTGAGAATTATTACCTGCCAAATAGCAAAAGAGAAATTAGAATTACTTTCTAAGATCAGGTCTGTATCAACTCTTTTGCAGTGCTGTATTTTTTTTTTCTAGTCTAAAGACTATCTATCTGAACATTAAACATAAAAAACTGGAATCTATGATCTTGAAAACAAGGACCTCAATAAAATGCAAAATGACTTTAAACCTCTTATTCATTAAGTAATTGGGTTCAATATATCTAGAAACATCGTTTACCATCCATATGAAGAATTCAAAAGCAAATTAACTGAAGTTTGTATTTAAAAAGGAAAATGGAAGGGGAACCTGGTTGGCTCAGTCGGTTAAGTGTCTGACTTCGGCTCAAGTCATGATCTTAAGGTTCGTGGGTTCAACTCCCACGTTGGGCTCTGTGCTGACAGCCTGGAGCCTGGAGCCTGCTTCAGATTCTGTGTCTCCCTCTCTCTCTGCCCCTCCCTGGCTCCAACTCTCTCTCTCACTCACTCTCTCTCTCTCTCTCTCAAAAATAAACATTAAAAAACACGAAAAAATAAAAGAAAGAAAGAAATACAAAGGAAAACGGATGGCAGCTATTCCAAGGAGGAAAGACTCCAGTGAATGCAACACTTAGCTACTTTTAAGGGTCTACTAGATAGAATCTTTTAAATAGAAGCTACAGTTCAGCAGCTTTAAAATTTCATGTTTATTCATATTTTTCAAAATATATGTACATAAAAAAAGGAAGATTTACAACAGGAAAGATTGCCTTACATGCAACACAAATTCCAATGAGCTCATGATGGGATCACACATGATTATGGATCTACTTCAAGCCAATCTTCTCAAGTCCATTTCCCAGCCACACTCTAGGCTGCAGATGAGATCCCAGGAGACAATGCAAGTGGAATGAAGGAAACAAACGTCTTTTGCCTCTGGCAGTACTCAAGGGGCCAGAAGATGTACACCAAAAAGTTTAAGACGATTAAAATGTCAAGTGCCACAGGGAGGATAAATGATAACCGGAAATCAGTATTTCTCAAGTAGAAAGCTAGTACTATTTAACACAACTTCACAATACTAAACCAAATACAAATGAGAAAGGGTTAGGTAGTTGGGCTTCATTTACTGTTTTCTTTTTTGTAAATATCTCAAAAAAAGAAGCCACTTGCTTGATATCAAAAGTGCTGTGGAAAGAAAGGAGGGGAAAAAAACCCACAGATGAATCTGGAATTTAGTTTATTTTAGCAAATTGTATGTTTTTCCACTTAACATTTCTATATTAGCAATGATGTAACTCTCCAACATTTCCTTATAAAAAAGGCAAACAGGAAACAACTCATGCTCCAAATATTAAAAAATATATTTAAACATCTGATCAAGATTTTATATGGTGTGGTTTTTGGTAACACAGGTGACACCAGAAATCATAAACTCAACATATTCCTGTATTTCCCTTCAGTCAGAAACCAAATGGTGGAGGCAATTTGTGCTTGTGGTTGAGGGAGCGCAACGCTCTGGGCCAGTGAAAAACACCTGGAAATCGGCCAACGTGAAAAGTGGCCCAAAGGAGTCCTAGGTCTGCAGAATCTAATGAAGTCATAATGTTTTTTGGCTTATTCCCAAAGCTAAGACGTCTCTGTGTTTATATAGTTGGAGAGAAAGGGTTAGTGGAGTGGTTTTATAAATAAGATTAATTATTATAGCTATAACTGAAGTCTCCAGGCAGAAGGCTTTTCCATTCAGTCAGTGCTATATACTGCCTCTTTTTTTTACTTCCAGCACCTGACCAGTATCCTATTCTTGATGTTTTCTACAAATATAAAAATCTTTGCAAGTGTTTAGATAAAGCTGGAAGAAACAAAGAAAAAAAAAAGCCAAAGCTGACAATAAAAAAAGAAAGAGGGTTGGGGTAGAGGGAGAAAAAATGACAAGTGGAGATTATACAGTTCAGGAAAATCCGGAGTTATCGCAGAAATTAAAATGACTGAGGGAAGGGGTAGGCACCAAGAACAGCACCTAAAGCGAACAAATGCCTAAATTGGTTTATTTATATTCCCTCCCCACAATGTTCATAGGGAAGGGAAAAAATGTAATTTTAAAAGCATCAAAACTAAAACAAATGCACACTGACCTTAGAAAATAAGATTCTGAATTTTATCATGATACCCTTTTTTTCCTATAAAATTTACTTTTTTGCTTTGAAAGACTTCTTCATGTTGGCTTTGCCCTTACTGGGCAATTTCACTTCCTTTCTGACACTGGCTGCAGGCTTTTTTGAAGAGCCACCACTAGGTTTCTTGATGACTGAGGATGAGGGTCTGGCTTTCTTGGCAGGAGTTTTGGCCTTAGGAGGGGCTTTCTTAGACAAGGGCCTAGCTTTCCCCCGCTGGGCAGCTGGGACTTTGGGCGCGGGCTTGGACCCTCTCTGCTTCACCGATGCGGCCTTCACCGAAGACTTGGCTGGGGTTTTCTTCTGCAACCTGTGAGAACAAAGAGCAAAGGCGATCACTTAGTACTCAAGAGACTCACTCTGCCAGGACGACTGGATACTTTGCCAAAAAAGACACAGGGTAGACAGAAGTCACCGATGTAAAGGACAGGAACGTGGTGATCTGACTATAGCCCTTACTAAAACTGTGTGAAAATTCAACCACTTCATGGGAGTCTGTACATAATTTGTGATGTTCTTCCTAGGAAAATATGGGATTGTTTTTCTTTCAATAACCAACCAACTACGGATATACACACAGATTTGACCAAACAGTAAATTACACATATTCACAGTGCTTCCTAAGTTCAAAGCCCCTGAATTTCCAGTAAGACAAATTCAGATGTTACACCAAGAGCCTTCTGAGAAGGATCCTGAGTTGTTACAATGCTATTAATTACTATTACTGCCACTATTAGCTCAAAGGTAGGACATCCACACATCCACACCTTCTTTTAGGTGGTGGCTCTTCGTCATCAGAGTCTTCTTCTGAAGAGTCCTCCTCATCTTCATCCTCGTCTCTTGAATCATCTAGCTCTTTCTTTGGAAATAGAACTCCTGGGCTATGAGAAGAAAAAAAGAAAAGAAAACTACGGTAAAATTACGTAAAAGAGAAGTCCCACATAGGAAAGGGAAAAATGTGAACCTAGATGCTCTTTCTTTGACATTCCGCATCTTCCTGCCCTCCCCAAATGCCATGTTGCAAGTGTCGGGTTACAGTTTAACCTGTTTTCAACACACACGCAGTTATAACAAATCTATTAAGAGTCCAGAACCATACCTCATTCCCTTCCTCCTACCATTAGAAAAAATGGACTCTTTATTTTAATTTTTTTATGTTTTTTTAAAAAAATATATTAATATTTATTCATTTTTGAGAGACAGAGAGACAGTGCGAGCAGGGAGGGGCAGAGACAGAGAGGGAGGCACAGAATCCGAAGCAGGCTCCCGGCTCTGAGCTGTCCGCACAGAACCCATGAACGACAAGATCATGACCTGAGCTCAAGTCAGAAGCTCAACTGACTGAGCACCCAGGCACCTCTTTTTATGTTTCGAGACAGTGAGAGAACACGGTATGACAGTGAGGGAGGGGCAAAGGCAGAGGGAGGGAGAGAATCTTAAGCAGGCTCCACACCCAGCACGGAGTCCAACATGGGGCTTGATTTCATGACTGTGATGTCATGACATGCACCAAAATCAAGAGTCGGATGCTTAACTCACTGAGCTACCCAGGTGCCCCAATAAGATGGATTTTTTTTTTAATGTTTATTTATTTCTGAGAGGGAGACAGGCAGAGCATGAGAGAGGGAGGGGCAAAGAGAGGGAGAAACAGAACCTGAAGCAGGCTCCAGGCTCCAAGCTGTCAGCACAAAGCCTGAGGTGGGGCTCGAACTCACAAACTGTGAGATCATGACCTGAGCCGAAGTCAGACACTTAACCGACTGAGCCACCCAGGCGCCCCTAAAATGGATTCTTAATCATTTACTTAGTAAGCAATTTAAGCTCCTGATGTGTGTCCAGCACTGTATTAGCCACTGAATATACAGCAGTGACTGGTCTGTCTACAAGACAGCAAACAGTTTGCACAGCAGTATACATTTTTTTGGCCTCATGATACTGGCAAAAGACCTCAAAATATCATAAAGGCTGAATCTCTTCAAAGTTTTAGAGAAAGTCAGCAAGGATTTTCTAATTTTCTTTGCCCTTATTGATACAAATATTGATTCCATTGTGTAATAAGTCCTTGAATTATAACATTTTATGTACAAGACTTTAAGAATTAAATTTAATATTTGAAAAATTCAAATAATATGCAATCGGCCAAGTAACAGAGGCTTGTACACAAGGTACAATGTAAGAAATACACTATACTCTTGCTAAAATAGGGCTTTAGTGGTACATGTCATGGCACTTTACTAGAAATCAGAGTATAAGAAGGCCATTGCACAGGTGCACAGAACAATGCTTGACCCCAAGGAGGTGCTCAATACATTTTTTGGTTTGGTGCATAAATAAAGTATAGATCAAAAAGATTTTCAAGGAAATGGCCCTATCTCTATAGTATGGAGAGGGCAGACTAGGGTTATTGGAAGCAGCCAATGCTCTCCCCTCCTTGAGTGACGATGAAAACATACATAATTCTCTAATAATCTTGTCATTATCATTTATTTAATAAAGAAAGAATGAACACAAAAATAACCGGCCGATGATCTCAAAGAATTCCATGCTTGATTTTAAGGAATGGGTGGCTAGTAAGATCTAGCAGGGTAGCCAACATTCTCCAGTTCTAACATGAAAAGTGTTTGCTCTAAAACAATACTGCCTTAAGTAATCTTTATTTTCAAGTAAAACAGTAATAAATTAATCAGTTAAGCCCAAGATTTTAAATTTACAATCACCAACACTTCACATTATGGCCTGGCTGCTTACCTGGGGTAATAGGGAAAACAGAGCTGGAAGGTGCCACTGAATCCTTTGCCAGAGATCTGTTCCATCCATCCATTCTTTTCGCATTTCTGAAGAGTCTTCTTCAACAAATGCACTGAATAAAAAAATCCAGAAATGAAGAAAGTTACCTACAATTTTTTTTTTTTTTAAATTCTTAACATTTATTTATTTTCGAGAGGCAGAGACAGACAGGGCATGAGTGGGGGAGGGGCAGAGAGAGAGAGAGACACAGAATCCGAAGCAGGTTCCAGGCTCAGAGCCGCTGACGGCTCAGAGCCCTGAAGCGGGGCTCGAACCCACAAACCGTGAGATCATGACCTAAGCCGAAGTCAGATGCCCAACCGAGCCACCCAGGTGCCCCAAGTTATTCTATTTTATAAGTCCCTCAACCACAAACATTTATATACAAATTTACTGTCCTGTCAAACAGTAGGTGACATGTGCTAACTGAAATTTTTGTGGTCAGAATTGTTAACTAATTCACTTAACAATTAAGTGCCCATAAATTCGAAAAGAGTAAATTGTCATGGCAAGAGACTGACCATTAAGTCCATTAAGACCATTAAGACAAGTTCCTCGTTTCAGAGAAAGCAGAACAGGAGCCCAGAGTGGTGAGTGACGTGCCCTACAGTGACGCAAAAATGATTAGTAGCCAACCTAAAACTAATCTCTCATTTCCATTCATTCAAACATCTATTGGATACCTGTATGTACTCAGAAATAATTTAGGAGAGTATCAAGATGACAAAACCGGGGGCACCTGGTGGCTCAGTTGAGTGTTCATTTTCTGATTTTGGCTCAGGTCATGATCTCATGGCCTGTGAGTTCGAGCCCCGTGTCGGGCTCTGCGGACTGTGGGGCTCTGTGCTGTTTGCAGAGCCTGCTTGGGATACTCTCTCTCCACCCCTTGGCCCCTCCCCTGAACACAGGTGTGCAAACATGCTCTCTCAAAAATAAATAAACATTAAAAAAAGGAAAGCATTCCTTCATAACATTATAAAATTCATACTGCATAGGTTAAAAGTCAGTATTAAGACTTCAAAATTACTTTTTAAAAAAAAAAAATTTTCTTTAACATTTATTTATTTGTGAGACAGAGAGAGAGCATGAACAGGGAGGGTCAGAGAAAGAGGGAGACACAGAATCTGGAACAGGCTCCAGGCTCTGAGCTGTCAGCACAGAGCCCCGACGCGGGGCTCGAACCCACAGACTGTGAGATCATGACCTGAGCCGAAGTCGGGCGCTTAACCGACTGAGCCACCCAGGCGCCCCCAAAATTACTTTTAATCAAAAGAATACAGCCTAGTGTGCATTTTGTTACTTATTTTCCATATTCCTTACCCTACACCACTATACCTATTCTCGTAGTTCACTAAGAAAATATACAGCCTCGTTAACCTGGATATGACAGTGCTAAAGTGAGGCTTTTAATCTCAAATCACCACCTGACAGGGTAAAGACACTTTCCTGAGAAAAGTATTCTTTGTTCTAGGGCTTAAGGCAACAAGAAACAACATAAGTAGCATTTTAAAACACCTGCTTGGCTTCAAGGGAAAATTACATGGTTTGGTAGACATTCAGAAAGGCAAAAAGATACTACACTTGAGAGGTATTCTGAACCAAGAGATTTATCTAAAATCTTTATAGTAAAGTAAAATCAAATCCTGATCTTCAGCAGACATTGTAAATTAAGGATAAGCCTTGCTTATTTGTTTTTTCCTTTTGTAAATAATAAATTTGTAAAGTTGTTCCCTCTTGATTTTCAGTCAGCAGTTAATGCTTTGTAATAGCATGATCTCCAGAACTGTTTACAAGGCAATCCCCCCCGATCCCAGTTAAATGCACACAACTCTGAGCCTTACTTTGATAGTTAGAATTGGTCCCTGGGTGGTTCTCCAGGACATACTTCTTCAGAGCAGTGGTAGAGCAGGTCTTCGGCTCATTCATGGCAGCAATAGCAGACAAGATTGCATATTCCATCAGGCTTCCACCAAGCAGGGGTTTCTCCCCTGATTTCTTCAGCTGTTTTCCAAGGAGGAAGAGAAAAGCATCAAGACAACACTCTCCCAAAGCAGGTCAAGACAAGACTCCTCTGCACCAGGTGGGTCGGAGTTCCTGCATTAGCACAGATATGTTTTACAATAAATTGTCAGGTTAGGGACTTTCTCTTCCCGCTCATCAGGTATTTAATCTAACTGAGGAGTCCCAACCCTCCTATGGATATTTTCTCTTTCCATTAACCCCTCCATCCAACCTAACAGAGCAACAGCTACCCTTAACTCAAACAGAGTGACAGCTGTATCCCAATAAGCAGGTTAACTTGTTATGTCCCAAATAAATAAGACAGTTTTGAGAATACTTCCTTGTCTCAATCTGAAAAGTGGAGTAGTTAGAAAAATAATAAATAACCTTTTTAATCCTGTAAAGAAAATAGCAAAGGAAAAGTTTGATAATTGTTTAGGGTATCATACAACAGAAAATGACATAGCATATTCCAAGGACAAAAGGATGGGGAACAAAGATCAGCACCATTAAGCACAAAGAGTAAAAGGACAAACTCAGGTATGATCTACAACAGAGATTCTCAAAGAGTGGTCCACAAACCCACTGGGGATCCTGAGACTCTTTCAGAGGATCTGCAAGATCAAAACTATTTTCATAATAATGCTAAGACGTGATTTGCCTTCTTCACTGTGGTGACATCGTGGAAAAGCGATGGTGGGTAAAACTGCTGATACCTTACCATAAATCAAGGCGGAGACACAAAAATGTACCAGTAGTTGCTGTATTTACTGCTATGTGCTTGTTTAAAAAAAAAAAAAAAAAAAAAAAAAAAAAAAAAAGCCAATTTCACTTAAGAATGTCCTCAATGAAGTAGCAAAAGTTATCTTATTAAATCTCAATCCCAGTACATGTCTTTCTGTTATTTTATGGGATGAAATGGGAAGAACACATTAAGCATGTCAACTGCATGTGGAGATATGACGGTGGTCTCAAGGAAAAGCACCCCAGGGTCTGAGTTGTGAGCTGAACTAGCTTCATTTTTCATGGGATACTCCTTAACTTGAAGGAACGACTAATAGATACACTATGGTTAATTATTATTTAGACTTGGGCATCTGGTAGACATTTTCTTGAAAATGTATTAAATGAGCCTCTCCCTTCAAGGAAAACAACTAACAGTATTTGTTGCCAAGCATAAAATGCAACTTTTTAAGAAAAAATTTAAATCATGGAACATTTGGATATACTACAGTGAGCTTAGTAATTTCTGAGTACTTAAATATTGTTCTGATAAGATCGGTGGGTACTATTACTTTTGTTACTGTTTGATGAAATGTGGTAACACTTTAATTATCTGCATGATTCAGTGAACCACTATTTTCCAAATGACCATGTTATAAAATTATGCAGTTAAAACATCTGCTCCAAGTTCAAGACAGACCCAAAGATTTAAGGCAAGAGTACAAGAGGTTCACAGATATGGTTTTAGGTTCCACATGGCAACTAACCTTTAAGGAATTAGCACAAAATCAATTAATGTAATACACCGTATTAACAGAATAAAGGACAAAGATCACATGCTCATCTCGAGACACAGAAAAATCATTTTACAAACCCAAAAGCTGCTCATAATAAAATCTAACAAACTAGTAATAGGGGAGAAATCTTCTCAACCTGATAACAGGCATTTATAAATAACCCACAGCTAACTTAATGATCGAAGACTTGATGTTTCCCCTTTAATAAGGGGAATGAGACAAGGATGTCTGCTCTCAGCATTGTACTGGAGGTTCGCTATTCAGTATAATTAAGCAAGAAAAAAGCAAAGCAAAGCAAAACAAAACAGCCAGATGAGAAAGGTAAACAAAATGGTCTTTATCTGCAAATGACATGACTCTATGTAGAAAATCGTAGGGAGTCCACAAAAATCCTAAGGAATCTACAAAAAACTACTAGAACTAGTGAATGAGTTCAGCAATGTTGCCAGATATAAGATCAACAGACAAATCAACTGTATTTCTAAATGTCAGCAATGAACAATCTTGAAAATATTTCCATTCACCGTAACGTGGAAAAGAATAAAATACTTAGGAATAAACTTAAATGTAAAACCTATATACTGAAAACTACAAAATGCTGCTGAGAGAAGTTAAAGATCTAAATAAAGAGACAATCAGTGTTCACGAACTAGCAAACTCAGTATTATAAAGACAGCGATTCTTCCCATATTGATGTATAGGTTCAGTGCAATCTCTACCAAAATCCTAGCTGGGTTTTGTGTGTGTGTGTGTGTGAAAAATAACAAATGCATCCTAAAATTCATATGGAAATGCACAAGACTAAGAATAATTAAAATATTCTTTAAAAATTACATTTTTTGACATTTTCCAATTTGAAAACTTGCACAAAACTTTCAAAGCTACAGTCATCAAGACTATGATCCTGGCATAAGAATTCATACATAGATCAATGGAGAAAAACCAGGAGTCCAGAAATAAATCCTTAATATGTATGGTCATTTTTTTTTTTTTTT